TATCATTATTATTATATGATAATAATAATAATTATCATCATTATTATTATTATTATTATCATTATCATCATTGTTATTATTATTATTATCATTATCATTATTATTATCATGATTATCATTATTATTATCATTATTATTATTATCATTATTATTATTATCATTATTATCATTGTTATTATCATTATTATTATTATTATTATTATTATTATCATTTTCATCATTTTCATCATTATTATTATTATTATTATCATTATCACCATTATTATTATTATTATTATTAATATCATTATTATTATTATTATCATCATTATTATCATTATTATTATTATTATTATTATTATTATTATTATTATTATTATTATTATTATTATTATCATTATTATTATTATTATTATTATCATTATTATCATTATCATTATTATTATTATTATTATTATTATCATTATCATTATCACCATCATTATCATTATTATTATTATTATTATCATCATTATCATTATTATTATTATTATTATCATTATTATTATTATTATTATTATTATTATCATTATTATTATTATTATCATTATTATTATTATTATTATTATTATTATCATTATCACCATCATTATCATTATTATTATTATTATTATCATTATTATTATTATTATTATTATCATCATTATCATTGTTATTGTTATAATTATTATCATATCTTTATTTGATATTTAAAGGTATTGGGTGTGGTGTATTATTACTGGGATATCTTCAAGTTTGTTTCTGGTTTACGGCTGCTGAACGTCAAGCTCATCGAATACGTCTGGCTTTTTTCCGTAATGTTATGAGACAAGAAATTGGTTGGTTTGATACAAATGATTCTGGTGAACTTAATTCTAGATTAGCTGAGTAAGTGTTATATTTATTTTTATTACTGTAAACCACAGCCCCAGACCCTTTCTGCCATTAAAACCCTTTATTTCTTGTTATTATTTTTATTTCAGTGATATCAATAAGATACAGGATAGTATATGATATAAGTCTCCATTTTGATTCATTATTTTTATTTCAGTGATATCAATAAGATACAGGATGGTATATGATATAAGTCTCCATTTAGATTCATTATTTTTATTTCAGTGATATCAATAAGATACAGGACGGTATAGGAGATAAGATAAGTTCTTCAATTCAGTGGATTTCAGCGTTTATAGCTGGTTTTGTTGTTGGTTTTATTTACGGTTGGAAATTAACGCTTGTTATCCTGGCTATCAGTCCAGCTCTGGTTCTCTCAGCTGCTATCATGAGTTGGGTAGGTAGAACTGTTTATAATTACCCATGGATAGCAGTATCAATAAGTAAACCAAGTACTAACGATCTGAACCACAAAACAAAACCCGAAATCCAAACAACATTGGTAGCAGCTAATGAACTTTTCATATGAGGAAGTATATTAATTAAGTGATATATCATTATATTTGAAAGCAAGCAGTCGTTAAAGCGAGGTCACAAATGCTTCAAAAAATACTTGTAAAAGATCCCTCTACATTTGGAAATCAATAAAGGACAGGCTAATCCTCTTGTCCTGGCAAAATTTCCCTCATTGTACACTGCATGGCATTGTCCATCTTAGTAATCAGGTGCATTAATTTCTCAGTTATTGCCAATTGATAAAAAATTGCAGACCTAGACTGTCCGCGTGCCTGCAGCCTAACAATAACGAGATCCACATGTTTCATAAAAATAGATATAAAGATTGCTCTGTGATATTAAACATATTTGAATGTTATTTTTGATAGAGCTTAAGAAAGAAAAAGTTATTGCCCTTGATCAAAGAAAAACTGAAAAGTTTTACAGATTATTTGTATTATTATTTCAGCTGGCGTCGAATATCACAAGTAAAGAATTACAGGCGTATGCGAAGGCTGGATCTGTAGCAGAAGAAGTATTAAGTTCTATTCGTACCGTGGTGGCGTTTGGGGGTCAAGAGAAAGAAGTCAAACGGTATTTATATTCTGATATCAGCATTATCAGTCATGGACATTGGAAGGGTTGAGATGAACATGTTTAGTCTGACAGTTATATAGGTAGTATTTCTCAGATATAGGACTCTGATTTGAGATGATCAGTTAACCGTCAATTTTATTACAAGTTTAAGAAAATTGATCACTTTGTTAATCTTTAAACATCTGAACTTGTGTTGTTTTTTGATGATTGAATAATTGAGAGTTATCGTGATGAGGTATCATTTATCATAACAAGTGTTGCAGGTATTACATTGATTTCTGTGGTCAAGAGTATCGAACTTGAAAACTGACAATTCGCGTGAAAATGTTTTAACATGTGCTACATATTACTCAAGTGACCCAAATCAAATTTCATAGCTGGTTTAATCTACATGGGGTGCAGAGCAGGCTTCACAGGACAATCACACATTGTAACTGCTAGCTTGATAATTGTGATAAAAGGCAAAACTTGTTGAGTAATTAACCGGGTAATAAAAGGTTATTGTCGATAAAATTACCCAGTTTATCGAAATCACTAACCGTTTCAACGCTAGCCTGCATACTGCGTTACAGTGTATTCGTGGATTAGTTAGGTGTCACCTCTTAAGTCCCTTCCATAAACAAATCAAGCACCAACGACTCAAACCTGTAACCTAAAATAACCCAACACCTACAGCAGATCAACAAAACAAAAATACTAAGTGTAAGACTTTAATTGTTTATATTTATATAAGTTGGATGAAATGCAAGAAAAACCTAATTTCCTAGTATAATAAATTAGATATTATCATTATTAATATTTTTTATTTCTCAGATATTCTGCTAACCTATCAGAAGCTAAAGCGTTTGGTGTAAAAAAAGGAATGACCAATGGAATAGCTTTTGGATTTGTGTGGTTAGCGATGTTTTGTGCGTATGCTCTAGGTTTTTGGTACGGTACCAAGCTGACTGTAGAGGAACATGAGACTTACTCAGTTGGCAGAATGTTAATTGTAAGTTAGCGTAACATTAGCAATATACATGTACCCTCTGGGGCCTTATTCTTAAAAACTTAACTTGAAATCATTTTAGTGTTCCAGTCATCTGATTGGTCAAACATTAAGATTGATTTTAAATTCAGTTTTATTATCCAATCAGATCACTGTATTTCATACGTCAAGATGATTTTAGTATTCCAGTCATCTGATTGGTCAAACATTAAAATCTGTTTTAAATAATGTTTTTATTATCCAATCAGATCACTGTATTTCATTAGTCAAATTTAAGTTAAGTTTTGGAAAATGAGGCCCCTGGTGGGTAGTATATATACAGGGAGGGCCAGGTCCTCATATCAAGCCTGTCATAGGTCTTTTTTTGAAGCGAAAATTAAGCCCTGTAAATGCTCAAAATTCATTTCAGGCCATCTGAAATTTGCTTGTAGCTGGATTCAAGGAGCTTTGGCCCATTTAGTCTCAACTTGGAGAGATACCTCTCATTTTTGACCCCTCAGGCATTTTCTAGATACGTCTCTGTATCTGATTGAAATACAGATGTAGAAGTTTTGTTCCACTTGAACTGTTTTTCTGTAGGTTTCTACAACTCCCATCTATGATCCGACAATTTGTTATACAACACTTGTTCTAGTTACGGTCATGATGTAAAGCAGTCTGGTATATACATAGCAATATAGCATAGCAATATAGCAATATACATACATAGCAATATACATACATAGCAATATATTGAGTTAAATTATGGGCCGATGGTTAATAATGTTTTTTATTTGTTCACTGTTATTTCATTTTGATGCTATTGGGTGGAAATATACCTCAGAACACAATTTAAAGAAAAATTTTCAGAATTTTGAACTAGATTTATTTGTTGGTTAATTTCAGGTGTTTTTCGCTGTATTAGTTGGAGCTTTTTCATTGGGTAACGCTTCTCCTGGTATCCAAGCCTTTTCAACTGGACGCGGAGCTGGTTACATTATTTTCACCATTATAGATTTGGTAATTTTAAGATTATTTCATTTCTTTCTGGTTTTAACATTCAGTTGTGTAAGAGTCGTACAAGTTGCAAGTTTTTAACTGTTGGAAAACAATAAAGAGTAGGCTAATGTCACTGTCCGAGTAAAATTTCCCTCATAGCACACAGCATAGTCAGAAGCAGAAACGTAGGATGCGAAACTGCATAGAAAAGTAAGGTCATCTACTTGACACCCCTTCGTTTAGTGAACTCTTCCACAATTGCACACTCTCAATCAATATGAAACTTTATATATTTAGTTGGAAGAGCTCATTTGTAAATTAAGGGTGTTTTTCTGATGTTTTGTTTTATTACCAGGTACCTTCTATAGACAGTTTCTCTCAGTCCGGAAAGAAATTGGATAAAATAGACGGAACTGTGAAATTTCATGATGTTAAATTCCGCTATCCCTCACGACCTGATGTACAGGTAGGTGATTAAAATAAACATTGTATCACTTTACAATATCAAGCTATTACAAACTTCATCTTCACAAAGTCAAGCTATTACAAACTATATCTTATACCTTTACTCATCTTCACAATGTCAAGCTATTACTAACTTCATCTTATACTTTTACTCATCTTCCCAATGTCAAGCTATTACGAACTTCATCTTATACCTTTACTCATCTTCACAATGTCAAGCTATTACAAACTTCATCTTATACCTTGACTCATCTTCACAATGTCAAGCTATTACTAACTTCATCTTATACCTTTACTCATCTTCACAATGTCAAGCTATTACTAACTTCATCTTATACCTTTACTCATCTTCACAATGTCAAGCTATTACAAACTTCATATTATACCTTTACTCATCTTCACAATGTCAAGCTATTACTAACTTCATCTTATACCTTTACTCATCTTAACAATGTCAAGCTATTACTAACTTCATCTTATACCTTTACTCATCTTCCCAATGTCAAGCTATTACTAACTTCATCTTATACCTTTACTCATCTTCACAATGTCAAGCTATTACTAACTTCATCTTATACCTTTACTCATCTTCACAATGTCAAGCTATTACTAACTTCATCTTATACCTTTACTCATCTTCGCTAGCGTAAGATCCAATCAAATCGCTTCATTTATGAACTTCTGTGACACAAGAAAAGTGGTTATTGCAGTCGAGTTATAAGACAAATATCTTGATGCTTGTTTGATTATTAACTTTGTTTCAATCTTGGCTCGTGTTTACCCTAATTAATATGTATTTTTTTAAATTTATATTACTAGGTGTTGAATGGTATCAATATTACAATATCTCCTGGTCAGACTGTAGCTCTAGTTGGTTCTAGTGGATGTGGTAAATCAACCACCGTTCAACTCATACAGAGGTTCTACGACCCAGAGGGAGGCAAGGTTAGAATTTAGGTTTTATCTAGGCTGTTATTTTCACTATACATATAATTCTTACAGAATTACAAAACTCATTGAAGTATTCTCAATAAAACCATAAATATATTGATGATATTATTAAACGTGTATCAGCCCTGTTAAGTTAATATGAATAGATTATCAAATCCATGAATTTCCTGCCAAAAAGAAACATTTGTCCACAAAACATAAAAAATTTATTACACAGTATGGTTTCAAGAGCACGATGAGGCTTCATCCAATTTTCTTTCTGAATAAATTTTGTCAAACTGAGGATGAAGTTTGTGATTTTTTTCAAATTAATTTGTACAATCATGTTTTAAAACAAATTAATTTTTCTTGTACTTCCTCATATAATGTTTTTGAACCCTGTTTCCCCCTGTCAGGCAAGAGGAAAAAGTATCTAGTCGTTCAGATGGGACAATAAACCAAGGCCCAGAAAAGTAGGATGTAAAACTCCATTCATTTCATTTTCAATTTCCTCATATAATAGGGCTAAAGATATCTTAGAAAAATCTTCAAAATAATTTGGTTATTGTAATTACTAGGTAACAATAGATGGAGTAGATGTAAAAGAAATGAATGTAAAATGGTTGAGAGAACATATTGGAATCGTGAGTCAAGAACCAACGCTATTTGCCACGACAATCGAAGAGAATATACGATATGGTCGTGATGGAGTCAGTAAAGATATGGTAGAGAAGGCAGCGAAAGATGCCAATGCTCATGATTTTATTAAACAATTACCAGAGGTAGGTGGCTTTATACCAGAAGTTGACTAGTTTAAATCTAGCGGCCGCTTGATTGGTGAGTTCTGGATGTTTCAGATAAATCGAATCAACTGGACGTTCAAAAAACAAATTGGCACAAAGTTTAGAACATTTGTAAAATAGAATAGTAGTTGCAGACAGATTTCAAAATGGTGAAGAAAATAAATAGATAGTTTCTTATGGTTCGATTGGGGGAAAGAATTGTAACAAATAGACCCTGTTTAGAATTAACCAATCCACTGCCATCCTAATGTCTAGGTATTTAATCTCAAAGATTCAACATTAGATGATCGTAGTGTACCATTTATCAGATTGGTCAATTTTTAAAATACGTTTTCCAATCGAGCTTTTTTGGTTGCCCTCCACTCCAGTTCAAGAAAACAGTGTTTTTTTATAAGAAAAAGTTCTGATAAATCCATGTAGGATAAGCTTCAAAATTGAAATTTTCTGAAAAATTTTCAGGGTTATCAAACTTTAGTTGGTGAGAGAGGAGCCCAATTATCTGGGGGACAGAAACAAAGAATTGCCATTGCTCGGGCTCTGGTTCGTGACCCCAAGATATTATTACTGGATGAAGCTACATCTGCTCTGGATACAGAAAGTGAATCTATCGTTCAACAGGCTCTGGATAAGGTAACTTTTATTAAACAAAAAAATTAACCAATTGAGCTCTATCAGCTGGTAAAGTAAATATATAGATGACTATACAGATAGCTGAAATTGAGCTCTATCAGCTGGTAAAGTAAATATATAGATGACTATACAGATAGCTGAAATTGAGCTCTATCAGTTGGTAAAGTAAATATATAGATGACTATACAGATAGCTGAAATTGAGATGACTATATAGATAGCTGAAATTGAGCTCTATCAGCTAGTAAAGTAAATATATAGATGACTATACAGATAGCTGAAATTGAGTTCTATCAGCTGGTAAAGTAAATATATAGATGACTATACAGATAGCTGAAATTGAGCTCTATCAGCTGGTAAAGTATATATTTAGATGACTATAAAGATAGCTGAAATTGAGTTCTATCAGCTGGTAAAGTTAATATTTAGATGACTATACAGATAGCTGAAATTGAGATCTATCAGCTGGTAAAGTAAATATTTAGATGGACGATACAGATAGCTGAAATTGAAGTAAATATTTAAACTATGTTTTAATTTTGTAGGCTAGACAAGGTCGTACCACTCTAGTTATAGCACACAGATTGTCTACGATTAAAACAGCTAATGTTATATTTGGGATAAAGGAAGGTAATGTGATGGAGAATGGAAGTCATGAGGAATTGATGGCTATGAAAGGAATTTACTATCAACTTGTCATGAATCAGGTATGAGTCAATACATAATGAATCTTCTAGATCTGGTAGATTTATTAAAAATGAAATGAATGGAGTTTTATATAGTAAATGCCCTCATACCCTAGCGCCAGAGTATTGTGTGGATTATATTAGATAAACCGAACGCACCATAGATATCACTCGTAGTACATATCTATGGAATGCTAAACGAACTGGCTCACCAGCTCTAGTTACCTCCCTTACACTCTCTTCCTGTTATCTAACATTGGCAGTAAGCCATATTGTATTATTGTTTTATTTCACTTACAGTTTATTATTAGAGTTCCACCTTAGTTGAGAGTTGAATACGTCCTTAAGATTGTCCGTTCATCACAACAGACGTAGTGATTACTAGTTGTTTATGGTTGTGAATAATGAAAGTGGTCATGAATTCTCAACACAATTCACAACTCAGTTACATAACAAATTAATAGTTGTGTTGGAAACTTATGACGGCTATTCTGTCACTATGGTGTGAGAGTAATTTTATAGATTATATTGTCAACTCATTCAGGAGTAATTGATAATATTTTTTTTTTTTTTTTCAGACAAACAGACAGGAAGATGGTAAGAAAAAGTTACTTCTTTTTTCTTGTGACTTAAATATTTATTTTTGTATGTTATATTGTTATATATCATATAGCATACAGAGACCAAACTTTTGATCTGTTTTTTATTAGTTTTTATATTTAATATAGCCACATCAGTTAGGGTCTAACGACTGGACTCTTAAACATTCATCAAATTAACCTTTTGACCTAACTCGATAACGTCTTCTTTAACCAATCCAATTGCTACCGTTGCATTTTGTGATGTGGTTTGTGGTGTTTTTTAAAAGGTTAATTTAACAAACGTCCATGAGGGTTATTATTATATAAACTGTGGCTATATTAAAAATAAAAGCTAATGAAGAATGGAATGAAATATTTACAATATTTACTTTTCTTTTATCTAATATAACATTATATAATTTATAATATAACTCTTCTATCTTATATATTGAAGTCCAACTAATTCCAACCTTCCTTGTTATATATCAGGGTTTAGACTTTTATTTTCAAAAGATTTCCCCCCACCCCCTTAAAATTGGTTCGAAAATAATTTGAAGATGGCCCCCTTCAATCCTAAAGTTTTGAAGCTAATAATAATAACCCTGATTTAAAGGGACAGGTGTGTCATCTGTTTGACCAATCATACCTTAGTCATTCAGTAAGTGTTCACAACTCACTGTCGATCCGTGTGTATCCAGAATTATCATGAACATTAAAAGGACGAGTCGACTTTTTAACTTTCTCTCAGAAATAGTCATTAGTTTAAAGTATTTTTGAAGGAATATATGATTTTCATGTGACATGTGTCAGCGCTTTGAGCACTCTCCATGTAGAGTGGATTTCAGCGGTTTATAAATACAATTATTATTATTATTATTATGTTTCCACAACGCGGATTTAGTAGTACACAGGTTTTTTCTGTTTATACATCAATAAACTGAAAATATATTCAGGTCATTCCTTAATTAAAGAAGATTAATAATTCTTTCTTTCTCTCACTAACTACTAACAGAGGCTGAAGAGGGTACAGTATCATCTTTTACTTTCCTTGACCCTGTTCTCTATCCTATATTGTCTATTGTTGTTGGAAAACAATGTGTCACTGTACATTTCATTCAGTTTTTATGTCATATTTAAGTTTATGTCGTACTGTTTCTGCACTGTCTTTTGTTTAGGGAAAAATGAAATTTGTTATGGTCTGATCTATGTAGCTGCACATTTTTGACTTTGTTGTTATATTTAGGTTTATGTCCTACTGTTTTTGTATCTAGTTGGGAACATGGGCTCCATATTTAATTTGGTATATTTATCATACACAAAAAGGTAAGACTGGGCGATATCGCATGATTACAAAAAAATACCGAAATATATCGGTGAATATCCACTCGAACCAATATCGTCCAGTCTTACTAAAAGGGCAATAAGTTTCCATTTAGATTATAAAATTTTACCTGCTATATTCATTTGTTAATTAGTTTTAGTTTTTGTGCTCTGTGTCGCCTGTTTATTTTGTTTTAAATCACTTGAAATCCTGAATCTTACTTGTCAATACCCGAGAAAATATTGCACCTATTTTCATGTTTGTTCTCGTAAATTCAAGAGGAATATATTTTGATTAAGTTGATTCCTTGATTATTAGAAACATACCTTGTCAAATTTTACATTATTTTTTTAAAAATATAATATAAGAGATACATATATTTCTGTGCAAGTGTGTATAATGCGTACCCCTTCCTTACCCCATCAAAATCTGGAAAAATACAGTTACTTATTATAATGTGCACACCTTTGAGAAAAAAAACTCAAAATTTATTTCAATGTATATAGTGCGCACCCCTTCTGTAAGGGACCTATTTTGAGGTAAGAAAACTGCGCATTATATTGGGAAATATTCTTATTGTAAAAAGATAAAAGATTATTGAAGTGTGGAAAGCATTATATATGTAATTGAGACACCAAGAAAATTTGACTTGAGCTCATCTTACTCTGAGACTGGTACTGTAGGAAGATAGATAATTCTGCAAATAATAGTTAATTTTACAAGAAACGTTGTCAAAGTTTCTTATCCTAGGAAACTACATAGGGTTCTTACATTGAAATAACACCTACACAAACATAGTTCTCAACCATTTTGAATCTCTTCCTCGAGTTAACAAGTCAAATTTTTAAAATAGCTAAGTGTTCCAACTAATCAAATAATATTTAAAACTGTTTCTAAGGCTTATTTGAAATATTGAGCTATTTTAGAAATTTGACTTCTTATGTCTAAGTAAAAATTCAAGAACTACATTACTGTTATTTACATGTAAAAACCATACATAGTTTCATATGAGTTTCTCATTTCACCAACCTCATGTGGATGTATATGTATATGGATGTGATCCACTGTCTAGCTATCCACAACATTATGACATACTACACCTGAGTTTTATTGGTTATTGATATTCTTAATCATTTGTACATATGTTTTAAAATTTGATGAAGAATCTTCTGAGGATTTAACAGATTATGTGTAAAATTTCCCAATCTGACATGAAAGAATGAATTATTTTCTAATAATATTCTAGAACTGGAAGAGGAAGAGGAAATAGAGGATTTTATTCGTGTTGGTTCAGGTCGAGCCAGTAAACGACAGTTACATCGTATGTTATCACATGAAAACGCTGATATTAAACGTCAAATGTCCATCTCAGAGGAAAAAGATGACAAAAAGGTTAGTTGTCTTGTTTCTTGTTTTTTTTTTTTGTTTTTTTTTTAAATCAAAACGACCATAATTTAGAGGGGGTTTGTGTTTATAGATCTTAATTATTAATGATTAATTTTGTTTGTATGTATATAAGTTGGGCAAGAAAGGTTTTTTAGTCTTATTTCTTACCCTAATAAAGTGACTATTATTATTATTGTTATTTATATGCAGCTGGGGATCACTACTTGTGTGAGGGCATGCACCTTTAAAATAAATTGCCCAGCTCTGAATCCTCAGTCATTTGAGTATCATAGTATCATAGTTAATGTCCGACATATTGTATATTTCAGAAAGAGGTACTGTTATTAGGTTATATAAGTAAGAAAATGAAACTAGACCTTATCTTGTCTTTTCTGTCTTTAAATAAGACAAGGGTAGCCAGAAAATTACACGCTTCCTCTCAAAGAATCTACGGTAGTATCCCCAAGGTTGGACCAGCAATCTAGAAGCTTCCTCCCATATCAAAAGATCTGTCGTTGGATCCATCAGAATGGCTCAAGAATTTAAATTGAAATATTAAATTCCGAATTTTCAACCCGGTTTCCCCCTTTTAATGATGCAGATCGAGTAAATGTCGAGTCATTTGAAATGGCCAATAAATTGAGGCCGTGTGTTCTACACTCATGGCATATAAAGATCTTTCATTAGTTGGAAAATGAAAAAGAGGGGCTAACGCAGCTTTATTTGCTAAAGTAAGATAACACCTCTTCGCGGTTTATCCATTGTTTATATAGAAGAATAAAAATGAATATCTTGTCCTAGGTAAGGTCTAGTTTCAACACATCTTTATAATATATCAAGCTATTACGAACTTCATACTTATACCTTGACTACAATAGCCACCTTTCTTGTATCACCGAATGCAACGATTTGATTGGATTGTTTTTCAGCCAATATAGCCAATCAGAGCCCTTGACAGAAATACTGTTAACATAAAGGCTTTGCGTTCACAGACTTTCTATGGAAGTCGCCTCTGATTGGCTGTATTTGCTAGCTTACTACCCAATCAAATCGCTTCATTTACAAACTTCCATGATACAAGAAAAGTGGCTATTACAGTCAAGGTATAAGTATGTAATTTGTAATAGGTTGATATGGTGAAGATGATATCAACCCTGCATGTGTATGTTTAGAATAGGAAGCTTATGTAATGTGAAATGTCTGAGTTTATCACTAAGATACCTGACAGCGTTATAGTGTTTGTTATTACTTTATAAAAATCAACCATGTCAACTAATCAGCAATTCTTGTCTGTAGATTTCTCCCGGAGACTATATATTCCCTGCATTTTACATTGATAGTTATATTGTGACCTGAATATAGTTCATAGCCTCAAAGCTATTAGAGAATAATTCTCATACTTACATAGTATGTATTTAATGCTATATTGTGATTATTGATTATCCAGCGATACATTTCATTATCATATCTTACAAATGTTTTGTTTACAAACACCTGTTGTCTGTAGTTCTTAACAACCAACCTGTAATGATGGAATTACCAGAATCAAGTGATCATGTGACAGTGTTGACATACTCTGATATTCTTTACAGTGATATATTGTAGAGCGTTACCAGACAGTTGGTGAAATCGACTAGAGACTTGCGTCTATTCAGCATAACAGCTGAACCACTAACTCTTTCTTCTATCATCATGAAAGTCATAAACATTTTGAAGCCATTATTAGGGGTTAATTTGTTCAATCAGAAGATTTAATTCTGTTGAATATTGTAAAAACATGATAATTCTTGCTACTTATTCAAGTTATTGTTTAATTAAATGTTGTCAAATGCTTATTTATTGTCAAAGGAATCCACCAACTGATTTAGAGAAATATGAAAGCAAATCAGATGAACATTGAAAATATTCTGGAAAAATAGAATTGGATTCAAACTTCAGTACTCTAATCTCAAAATTAGTCTTTTAGATTCAGGATTTTTGGCTGAAATTATCTATTTCTGTTGGTGTTTTCCTTGCTTGCTTTTTATAATTATCACTTTTATTATCAATCTCTATAGTCATCACAGTTTATTTCATGTCTGTCTTTAGGGCGTATGTAGAAAATGACGAAGGATGGGTGGATGTTGTTAAAAAAGAGAGATGACCCAGGAGGTGAAGCCTGAGGGTCAAAGTCCAAGACTGTTAGTCTGCCTGTATCTATAAATCAGAGTTTATCAGTAAGGTAGTTTCTACCAGTAATTTATATAAATTGTTATTTTATATTTTCCGTAGGAAGAAGACAAGGTACCGTCTGTTGGTTTTGGACGTTTAATTAAAACCAACTCCCCTGAATGGTATTTTATTTTAGTGGGATGTTTTGCCAGTTTGTTAAATGGTGGGGTTCAACCGGCGTTTGCTATTATTTTTGCTGAAGTTTTAGGGGTAAGTATTCATTCATGTTTTAAATACTGAAAGAGGGGGTGGGCATTGAAGATGCTAAATTGAAATGAACGACTTGAATGGGTGTCCATTATATACATCCTATCATAAATACGGGTTTTGACACGGTCTTATTAACCTGTATTAAACTAAGCCCACTGGTGGCATTTAAATCTGACCAATCAGATTGGTAGAACAGAAATGAGGTCATGTAATAAAACACAACATTGTTTCGCCACTGCCTGTTTGAAAAGATAAGAACACGTTTTTCCAAGTATTTCCAAGTAAGGTTTGATTTTCTCTCGACTTCAATTCTTTAACGAAAATCTTATTCACTTCTGTACCGTACATATTCATCAAAATATGTAATGACACGTGTTTTGATTTACTAGCAAGACAGCAGGTGCCATTTTGATTGGACAATATTTAGTTATGATTACGAAATTTTTCCACACTTGTATTACCACGGTTTTGAGGAAGTATGACGAATGGGGGCGTGGTTTGGACAAAATGATTCAGAAGTATTCAATGATATGTTCTGTTATAAAACAAGTTATTAGAGGCAATTTCTATTAAACTAATCTATATTCATTAATGATGTTTGTTCGAATGTTATTTTTGTAAAAATTGTTGTTAAGTAAAGATTTGTATTATGTATTTTCAGGCGTTTCAGTTAAAAGGAGAGGAACGTAATAAAGAAGTTCAGATGTATTCATTATTATTAGTTGGTATTGGTATTATCAGTCTAGTCATGATGTTTTTACAGGTACGTTAGTTTGCTATTAATATCATTCCGAATCACAAGACAAGATATTTAACATTGATCTGTATTCTCTACCATTTTTAACAGTGATTTTGGAAAAGTAAAAGAGTCAGGTGAAAGCCTGTTCCATTTCTCTTATGAATAAAATATAATTCTTTATCATCTGTAGATATAATGAAATCCTTAAAGGACATTCCGCTTTTTTGTAAGAAGTTTTCATTATCAAAAACTTTGTACATTATACCTGAAAATATTTCTAAAATATACTATTTATATCTATGTTTCTACTTGATCAAACTGAATTTGTTTTAAGAGGGTTAATTAAAAATGGAGAGTACTAATTCAGTTAAAAAGGGCACATTTCTGTAGAATTTGGGGTGCAATCCATTTTCCAGAGGGGGGGGGTTTTTGTTAATGTTTATGTTTTAGGAATGTGAAATCCAGAGTATTTTATTTTTTAACTATATGTTATTGTTTATAGAAAAGTGATAAAGATTTAATTTCATGTTATTTGTATGTTTTTAGTCCTATATGTTTTCACTATCAGGAGAAAATCTGACCATGAGACTTCGTCATTTAGCTTTTAAAGCCATGTTAAAACAGGTACGTCCTCATTTTATTTCATTATAACAAAAAATCTTTATTTTGAAAAAAAAATGAAAATTAGGCTGTGAAGCCCTTTTACAATATTTTACCCTTTTTTTTATTTTATTTTTTATTTTATTTTTCATTTTTTATTTAATATATTTCCTACCAAATTATTTGTTTCTCACTGTTATATTAAATCTGTTACCATGGTAATATATATTTGTAGGAAATTTCTTGGTTCGATGATCATAAGAATAATACTGGTATTTTAACAACAAAACTAGCCACCGAGGCCTCGCTTATACAGGGGGTGAGTATCAATAGGGGGGGGTTGTTAATGTTTTAGGAATATGAAGGTATACAAGGGGTGAGTATCAATAGATAACTAAAACTGAAATCCAAAACAACATATTGACGAAACATAGATAGCAGCTAATGAAATTTTTCACATGGGCTGGGATTATTATTCGTGTTTGAGGTCCAGCCCCTGGGTAAGCAACCTGAATAACTTCTTGTACCATATTTCCTCTCTTCCCCTGAAGATGACAATGTAGATTGTTGAAACGTAGTGTGTATTAAAACTAAGGAGTAGTATACCACAAAATTGTGTTCTGTTATTTAATACTATTTTCTATTGTAGGCTACTGGTATCAGATTGGGAATGACGATACAGAATCTGGCTGCCATGGGAACAGCTATAATTCTAGCTTTTATCTACGGTTGGAAACTAACGCTGGTTATCTTAGCCTTCGTGCCCTTTATTGTCATAGCTGGTGCCATTCAAATGAAAATATTGGCTGGTGTCGCAGGGAAGAATAAGGAAGCTCTGGAAGGTGCTGGAAAGGTAGGAAAAGATAAAAGTTTGATTTTTTTTTACTTATAAATTGACAATGGAGTGAGTTAATGTTGTAGCCTTGACATAATTTCCCCTATAGCACATTTCATTGTGTTGTGTGAGAATAGAACATAAATCTTCATTAATTTTTTTGGGGGATTTATGTATTAAACACTGTTAACAGTTTGAAACTTGTTATTACTATGTTTGTAGGTTGCTGTAGAAGCTATTAGCAGTATAAGAACAGTAGTATCTCTGTCACGTGAAGTTACATTCTACAATCTGTATGTCAACCAGTTATTACAACCTTACAAAGATGCCTTGAAACGAGCTCATTTGGTTGGCGGTGCCTTTGGATTCTCAAATGCTATTATATTCTTCGCCTACGCTGCTTCGTTCTATTTTGGTGCCTATTTGATTAACGAAGGAGAAATGGATTACGTTGACGTTTTCAGGTTAGTAAACAGAATGTTTATTTCGAGAGATTCAGGGAATATTGTAGTTGTCATGGTGATTTTCTCAGGTCTGTCTATAGGAACTGACTGAAGAGTAGACGATTAGGGTCACTTCTGAAGTTTAGGTTTAAGACACAGGTTTAATCAGACCAGTAGAATATTATCTATATATAATCACTATGGCTTGATTTCAGCTATCAGTAGCTCTTTTCAAAGAAGTCATGTTACATTCAATGATCTCCTGAAACTGAAACATGTTTTTATCATTAGTGATATGGGAATGATATTCTCACTTAAAAAAGCACTGGCCCAGGTAGGTCATGAAGTAGGAAACGAAATCAAAGGATGAGATAGTTAGTTATGGAAAACACCTGATACCACTTTACATTATGAAATACATTCTCATTTATAATTGATATACTTCTTCATATGAAAATTTTATCAGCTGCTACCAATATTTCACCAAAACGTTGTCAAGATTTCAGGTTTCGTTTTGTGGTTCGGATCGTTAGTACTTGGTTTATTTATTGTACAAAAAGCTTGTGGGAAATTTTAATTCCTCGTTTTGTCTTTCAGAGTATTTGGTAGTATTGTATTTGGTGCCATGGCTTTAGGTCAGGCCAGTAGTTTTGCACCAGACGCATCCAAAGCTCAAGTTGCTGCCAACAATGTATTTTTCCTCTTGGACACGAAACCCTCCATTAATTCAGAAAGTACTGAGGGCAGTAAACCAAGTTCGGTAGGTTACTTTGTTAAATTTACTTTGTTAGAACCAATTATTATGGATGGATACTTCTAGAATATTTACTCATGAATAAGGACCAGCTGGTAGACAAGATTATTGAGATGTTATCCTTTTAAAATCAATGCCAAGAGGTTTGTTGAAGAACTAACTGGTAGACATGATCCAAGAGAACCTTAGATTGTTTTCCTTGTAAAATCGTTGTTCAACATCATTACTATAAGGATTGGACAAGGACCAGCTGGTAGACATGATCCATGAGAACCTTAGATTGTTTTCCTTGTAAAATCGTTGTTCAACATCATTACTATAAGGATTGGCCAAGGACCAGCTGGTAGACATGATCCAAGAGAACCTTAGATTGTTTTCCTTGTAAAATCGTTGTTCAACATCATTACTATAAGGATTGGACAAGGACCAGCTGGTAGACAAGATCCAAGAGAACCTTAGATTGTTTTCCTTGTAAAATCGTTGTTCAACATCATTACTATAAGGATTGGACAAGGACCAGCTGGTAGACATGATCCATGAGAACCTTAGATTGTTTTCCTTGTAAAATCGTTGTTCAACATCATTACTATAAGGATTGGACAAGGACCAGCTGGTAGACATGATCCAAGAGAACCTTAGATTGTTTTCCTTGTAAAATCGTTGTTCAACATCATTACTATAAGGATTGGACAAGGACCAGCTGGTAGACAAGATCCAAGAGAACCTTAGATTGTTTTCCTTGTAAAATCGTTGTTCAACATCATTACTATAAGGATTGGACAAGGACCAGCTGGTAGACAAGATCCAAGAGAACCTTAGATTGTTTTCCTTGTAAAATCGTTGTTCAACATCATTACTATAAGGATTGGACAAGGACCAGCTGGTAGACATGATCCATGAGAACCTTAGATTGTTTTCCTTGTAAAATCGTTGTTCAACATCATTACTATAAGGATTGGACAAGGACCAGCTGGTAGACAAGATCCAAGAGAACCTTAGATTGTTTTCCTTGTAAAATCGTTGTTCAACATCATTACTATAAGGATTGGACAAGGACCAGCTGGTAGACATTATCCATGAGAACCTTAGATTGTTTTCCTTGTATCTTTATCTTTAATAGAATCCAATTAACCTATTCTCTTTCTCTCCAGATAACAAGTACAGTACATTTTAAAGATGTGAAATTCCGCTACCCCACCAGACCGGATGTTCAGGTGTTACAAGGTTTGAACTTGGAGGTGAACCCAGGTGAGACGTTAGCTCTAGTTGGTTCTAGTGGATGTGGTAAATCAACCACCGTTCAATTATTAGAGAGATTCTATGACACAGAAGAAGGAGCTGTGGTAAGACTACTGTTTTCTAACCTCCCAAAATCACTGCAATTCTATATCTGAGTTGAGTGTTAGATTCTTAAAAATTATTTCCCTAAAATCTGGATTTTATTTTGGCTAAATTTTTATCTTTACCTCTCTTTATCTTTTTATCTTAGTTGAGACAATTTGTTCTGTTTTGCCAGATTACTTTATTTCTTGAACAATGAACTTTTGAACCTATTTTTAACAAGTTAGTTATTATAATTTCAGTGTATTGATAAACATGACATAAAAGATCTTAACATCCAGTGGCTTCGATCTCAGATGGGTATTGTTTCCCAAGAACCAGTTTTATTTGACAGAAGTATCGCAGAAAACATCGCCTATGGTGACAACACACGAGAGGTTCCTATGGATGAAATTATTACAGCTGCTAGGAATGCCAATATTCATCAGTTTATATCTGAGCTACCAGAGGTCAGTGTTAAATATTAAAACAGAACCTGAAACATGTTAAGAAAAATTTAAGATTTTCTGATATTTGAAAAGAATGGCAACATCAGAATCACTAACATGTAGAAAAGTTAAACATTGTTAGTTCAGGTTTATGATTGTTTATTGATGTTGATGTTTAATATTTCAGGGTTATGATTGTTTACTGATGGTGATGTTTATTATTTCAGGGTTATGATTGTTTACTGATGGTGATGTTTATTATTTCAGGGTTATGATTGTTTACTGATGGTGATGTTTATTATTTCGGGGTTATGATTGTTTACTGATGGTGATGTTTATTATTTCAGGGTTATGATTGTTTATTGATGGTGATGTTTATTATTTCAGGGTTATGATACACGAGTGGGAGAAAAAGGAGGTCAGTTATCAGGAGGACAGAAACAACGAGTAGCCATCGCTAGAGCTCTAGTTCGCAATCCTAAAATATTATTACTAGATGAAGCTACATCAGCTTTAGATACAGAAAGTGAAAAGGTAACGTTTTTTTCAAATAATTTACTTTTGACTTTAGACTTTGTCCACCAGTTAGATTTTTCTAGAGCACATAGCACTTCAATCTAATGATAATGTAAAAAATACTGGTTTGGAAGATCCAAAAACAACATATTGGAGAAACATTAGTAGCAGCTAATGAACTTTTCACATGAGGAAATATATCAGTTATAAATGAGTAAGTAATTCATAATGAAAGTGATATCGGGTGTCTAGAAGAATAAGCAAACCCTGCCAGGCACAAAACTGCTCACATGAGGAAGTATATCAATTATAAGTGAGTAAGTATTTCATAATGAAAAGTGGTATCAGGTGTCTAGAGGAGTAAGAATACTCTGTCTGGCACCACCCATCATAGCAGCTCAACATATTTCATTATACTATAGTTCATTTCATTTGATATTTGATTATATTTGTAGGTTGTACAAGAAGCGTTAGATAAAGCTAGAGAGGGGCGTACCAGTATTGTGATAGCCCATAGACTTTCTACTATTCAAAACGCTAATAAAATAGCAGTCATTCGACATGGTACTGTATCAGAAGAAGGAACACATTCTGAACTCTTAGCTTTACAAGGATTTTATTATAAACTTATTTCAGCACAGAATAAACGTGGAGGTTTCTAAACTAACAGAGTAGTAGGCTATAGGAATTCTTGATGCCATTCTTGGTTTATTATGTATGGAAATACTGATAACTAATGTGATGTACCATATTTTTGAAGTGAAATACCACCAACCTGGCATGTTAGGGAGACTGTTTTAAATTGAAATACCATAAACAACTTATGTGAAATATACCTTAGTTTAGAAATCAAATACCAGTTTTTATTTGAAAATCATACCATTAAATTGAAATACTGTAGAATGGGAATTGAAATACTGTAGAATGGGAATTGAAATGCTGTAGAATTGAAATACTGTAGAATTGAAATACTGTAGAATTGAAATACTGTAGAATGGGAATTGAAATACTGTAGAATGGGAATTGAAATACTGTAGAATTGAAATACTGTAGAATTGAAATACTGTAGAATTGAAATACTGTAGAATGGGAATTGAAATACCATAAATCATCATCAT